CGTTCTCATCTAGGGCCTGGGTGTTGGGGCTTTTAGTTTTTATATGACTCTGGGCGGCTGGGGTTCAGCCAGAATTAGAACAGCCAAGTGCCAAGCAACAGAGAGAAAGGAATCTCTTGCCAGGTCTCCAGGGGTTTCAGAGCCACATTTTACAGAGGTTTAGGGAATTGTGGTTTGCATGGCACAGCTTCCTAGGGTTTCATCCCAACTTCAGAGTGATTTACAATGCCTATTCCATTGAGAAGCTCTCAACATGCATCTCTACCTGCAGCTGAGTGCTTTCATGCAACGACCCTAAATAACATCCCACATGCATGGCATGTGGACACTGAGGGTGGATATGGAGGCACTTTGGGGTGGGGAAACAGAGGCAGACAGAAGGAAAGGGCTGGGGTTGCAATCCTGGAGGCTTCTGACTCCAGGGAGGCAGAGGGCTCAGAGGCACAGGGACAGCAAAGGAGACAAGAGAAAATCTTGATTCCTCCAGTTAGTCAAGATTCAACTAACATTGCTTGAAAGAGTTCCATATTCCTGCCTCTGTACTGGTGACTAAGGCTGATGCAAAAACAAATAGAGGTTGGTCAGCCTAAATCTCAAGGAATTTGTGTTCTAGTGGAAAATAAATAGATGCATCATAATAATCATAATTACCACCTACGGGTCACTGCTCATGTACAGGGTTTTTACATGTGTTATTTCTAACTTTCTGTTGCCCATTTTACAGATGGGGGAGAAAAAGGAAGTTGCTGAGTCAGAATTCACACTCATTCAAACGTCAGGGCTTCAGCTCCCTCCCCAGCACTTAAGTGCAAGGCAAGGTCAAACCCAAATACCCGAAGACATAGTCACTGAGTGCTGTGGGAATGAAAACCAGCTGCATACAAGACCCCTGCTCTAGCTGGATCCTGCAGGGGGTAGGAGTCCGTAGGGAGAAGCGTCAAGGAGGGCCCAGGGGGCAGGAGCGCAGAGACGCCTGGGGAACTGAGGAATCATCCTGGGGTAGAGGATCTGAGAAAAAGCGAGTAGAGGATAGGTTGGCATCATAGAGCAGAGGGCTCTGTAGGCATCTGGACATGTTCTGTAGGTGTTAGGGGACCGTGGAAGATTTTCGAGTAAGACAGGATATGAGAAAAGAAGTACTTAAGAAGAGAACTCAAGAAGACATAGGTAAGGAGTCCTGGAATGGGAAGAGAATGAAATGACACAGGAGATTGAATCCATTGAAATAGTCCAGGCGAGGGACAAAGAGATCCTGAAGAAAGTAGCCTGAGAGTGACAAGGTGGTGTCAAGTATCTGAAAGGACTTGGAGATGGAATGGGGGTCTGGAGCATGCAGTGAGGTGTGAGCTGGAGCCCCAGGTTTGGAAATGCTAAGTAAAAAGTTGATGGTGGAGACCCTAAGAATGGATTTAAGCAACAGTGGTAACAGTAGATAAGAGAGGGAGAGGTGAAATCTAGACTCAAAGGTCAGAGCGGGGCAGGTGAGAAGCAAAGGGGACAGAAAAGAGGCAGTGGGGGTGGGGGTGAGAGAAGCGACTCAGGATGCCAAGGAAGGAGGAAGTGAAATGCCGCGGTGGCCAACGGTGTCCCATGTGTGTTCTCCTCCCGAGTCATACCTGCCAGATTGGGATGTGACTCCCAGCCCTGCCACCTGGCCTCGCACTCTCTGAGCATCAGTGCCTTCTTTTGTGAAAGGAGGATGAGAGTACTGTCCTCCAGGATTGCTGTCAGCACCAGAGCACATCGTAGGTGCTCAGTCAATGCTGGCTCCCGTTGCTGTCATTCTTGGTTATTGACATTCTTCTTGCCCAAGTTTAGATCAGGAACTTGTTTTCTGTGTTTAGCCCAGTCATCCACTTGACACCTGGCACGTTATCGTCAGTCTTTAAATGTTTCTTGGGTGTTGAGAAGATGGAATGGATACAGATTTTCTGGTCTTTCTTTGTCGCTGCCTTGAGCACTTAGCCCTTGTGGGCATTTTATTGCTGTTAGCTGTTAGTCAAGAAGGAGCTTGAGAGCCAAGAACAAGGACCTTCAGAGGTTCTGAACACCAGCTCTTTGAAATGTAGATGCAAATAATCCATAACCAATCTATAAATCAGAATTGGAGTGAGTTTATTCTGAACCAAAATATGAGGACTAGCTTAGCCCGGGGCCTTGCTTCCCCAAGCAAAGAAGGGCACCAAAGAAGTGGGGTGCACAGAGTGGTTACATACCCTCAAAGAGCATGTTTCACATATGATTGAAGTGTCCCTTTTACGATATTCATGAGAATGCCTTGTCTCACGTCACAGTGATTGATGGACACAGCAGGTAGCAGATCTGCTGTCTTGGTGGACACAGCAGGGTGGCAGGTCTGTTGTTTGGAGCTTAGTGGTCACAGGTGAGCGCAGCAATCAGTTCCTAGCCTAAGGAAAGACGCCTATCCTTAAGGAAATGCCAGTGTGGGGGAAGATGCATCTTTATTTTAAGGCCATTTGTTCTTGTCTTTGGGACATAGGAAATGCTTCAAGCAGATATACAATGCACGCTCAACGGCCATGTCAGACCCTTTTGGAAAAACAAAGTCAGGCTGAATTAGGTTTACAACAAATGTCTTCCTCATATACTCCAATATATCATATTGCTTGCCATATCTATTTCTCAGCAACTTTCTGCTTCAGTTTCTCTGTGTGGAATATCAACCTCCAATTTCCATTTGGGGGCAGGGGACAAAGACCCAGGGCCAAGACAGCAGCCAGTGGTGTGATTGGTTCCAGGGCTGCATTCTGAGTGGAGGAGTGGGGACCTAGGGTGGCCAACTGCATTCTCTCAGACAACGTTGTGGGAAGGACTTGCTGCTTTCTAGACTTCTGCGATCTCAGTTTGTGAAGGATGGGTGGAAAAAGCTTGGAGAAGCAAGGGTAAGCATGGTCACATGGGCACCTACCCACAGTCTCTCAGCGAGGGGAGCGGTGGGGAGGCAGAGGTTGGGCCGGACCAAGGCCTCAGGATGGCTTGACTGCACCTGCAACCTGAATCCAAGGTGCCTTCTTCTCAGCCTTGAGGTGAGGGTAGAGCAGTCCCTTCCACAGGTCTGGTCAAAGGACTTTCACAAGGATTCTGTCCTTCTTATCAGCACATCTTGGCGTGTCCTTGCTGAAGCTGGCACAAGGAGTCTTTGCCCTGGGAGCCATCTGTTAAACCCCCACTCCAGTGATGGTGGGGTTTTTGCTCGTGTGTGTTTGGGTGAGGGGAGGGTGGGGAGCAGGAATTGTGAAGGGCGAGGCAGTGGTGGAAAGTCCAGCGTCCCGCCTGTCTTGGCGGTCCCAGGCTTTGATAATGCCAGTGGCCGAGATAGCTGCTGAACTTTCAAGCCTTCCTCTCCCAGAGCTGGCGGCTCAGCTTTCATCTCTGTTTGTGGCCAAGGACAGGGACATGGGGGCCAGCACCCGGGCTGGCTAATGAGTAATTGGGAGCCTTGTCTGTGCGTGGTCAGGATGTGCCCCAGGGGCGACCTTGAGGTTGCTGGGGCAGGCCTCATCCATCCTGAAGCCTGGGCCAAGGCCAGGGGCCTATTTCTTCTTTGTCACCTCTGCTACTACCCCCTCGTAGAGTCAGTGTTATGTCCCCCAATCCCCCACCCACCTTCAAATAAATGCTCTAGTTTGAGTTATTTATGAAAGTTATTCCAACGGCTTTCCTCCTCTATTCTGCTTTGGTTACAAAGAAGAGAACTACGGTGCAATGGAACTCTGGCTTCCCCTCCCCCCCCCTTACCTCCTTCCTCTCTCAACCCTGAGGGTTTGTACAAGTCCCCCTCCAGGGAGGATGAACAAAGCCATTGAGGGGTCAGGAGCACACCTTTGTGAATGGCCACGTCATCTTGATCTTCCTTCCTCAGGTCAGATAACTTCCTTCCCTTCTCTACAAGGGCCTTGAATGGCTGCCCAATAGGAGGGGTCTGTGCTCTTAGGGATGCAGTCAACAGACTTTCCACCCAGAGCTCTTTGCTTCCTCCTCCTCTTCCTCAGCCTACTGTTCACATGCCTGCTTTGTGTGGGAATCTCTTCAGGTGTGTCTGTCACTTGCTTACAGCTATGGGGCCCTGGTGCAGTTACCTACACTTTCGGAGCCTCTGGTTTTTTTCTCTTCTGTTCAAAGGGGCTACAGGACCCCTCAGAGAGCTACAGGGGAACCACAGCAAGATGGCAGATGTCAAGTGCTGAACAACGAAAAGATAGTGCTTCTGTGTTTTGGAGCCACATGTCTGTCCTCCCTACTAGCAACTCGGCTCTCCCCGCGGAGAGAACTCAGTAGCATGAAATACTTGAAAAATGTCTTCCAGATGAATGAATGAATACATGAATAAATGCATTGCTAATAGCAGTAAATACATGTGGGCATCTGTTCTCTGAGAATAAATCAGTTCAATGATTATGGAATCTCAGAGTGCTGCAAAGAGTTGAACCAGGCACGTGCAAACCGTGCCCTAAAACAATCGAATTGGGCCTTAAAAAGTATCAACACTTTCCTGTTTTATTTTGGTTTACTCCTTAGGGAGATTAATATTTGAGAAAGAGCTCTGGCCACTGACAAAACTTAATTTTGTTTTACATCTGTATTATGTTCGGTATTCGATAAATTTCTATGGAATGTACAAAATGGATGAACGACTGAGAAAAATTAGCCATGAGCAACGGCAACAATGCTCATTCGGGCTGTTGGGATTGCGGCTGCTTCTCGGGGATCTAGGTACCAGCTTGTTGTGTGGTCTCACTACACCTCTTACCTTCTCTGCCTCCATTCCCCCATCTGAGCCGTAAGGCAACATAGACCTCAATCTCTGTGTCTCCTTACAGTAAGGCTAGAAGGCTTATTCTGCTAGGAACATAGGCCTTCCAGCAACTTCCTCGGCCAATCTCACGTGAACATGTTCACTTATCTTTTCGGGGCCTCTAGAGCAAGCAGAGCGGAGGGCGGCGAAGGAGAGGAGGAGGAAAAATTAACTGGACAAGTCATCCCAGGGCAGGGAAGCCCAAGAAAGCGCCTTTATCTCCATTCCCGCTATGCTTCATTGACTTCATTATTGTCCTGTCTCCAGGACGGGGTCCGTTCTCCACTATTGCACAGCTAGGCCGTCTCCTAGGGGCTGGGCCTGGCAACACAGAGCAGAAAGGGGCAAAATACCAGTGGATTAACTTGCAAAGCTGTCCCCCTGCCCCTCCTGCTTTAAAGCAGCTGTTCCTTCAGGAAATTCTAACAGGCCCCTCGGAGCTGTGGCTGGGAACTGTGGCTGGCAGGGCTCTGGGTGGCTCAGCCCAAGGGGGTTGCTTCTCAGCCGGGAGCCGGAAGTTCGAGACGGATCCTGCGGGGAGTTCCAGGAGGGCTCAGTGCCTGGCTCTGGAGCTTGAAACAGCTGCTTGGTGAGGGCAGAAGCTCAAATTCTACTTCCTCCAGGAAGCCTTCTGGGATTACCCCAGCCAGATGTTCTCTTCCCAAGTTCTACAGAGCTTCTTGTTCCTTTTGAAACACTTAATCCTCTGTCTTTTGTATTCCCATTATTGCAAATTTCCCTCTTACTAGTCTGGGAGCTGCTGTCGGGAAGGACATTGATCAAGTTTACTTGGGTCAGTGGAATGCCTAGCTGTGCCAGTCCTGCAGGAGGCGCTTACTGAAGAAATAAACAGCCATGTCATGTGTCCTGGCCGTCTCACCTCTCCAAGGTGTTTGCTTGTGTTCCTCCCTTTTGTACCTTCTAGGGTTGGAAGGGAGACCGGGAGAGTGGAGGGAACAGTAAAGCCGTGTGTGCGTGGAATCCCAGGCTGTGAGAGCGGAGCCCCTGGCTCTGGAGGAAGTCCCGCAGGGAAATGATCGGAGGAGCGTGAGGCTGAGTGGGATTCACATGGTACTGACCCTGGGATCCCCATGTCCAGTTTCTTGGCCTGTCCTTGTGGTGAAGTCACACTTCCTCGCTCTGTGAAATACTAGCTGGAAGGAACCTGCTTGTTCCAGCTCCATTTTGGGCTTCCAGGCGGGAGACCCTGACTAACTTTACAGAGGCAGCCTGGTGAATTGAACAGGATCATAGGTTCTAGAACCAGACTGCCTACACGCACCCCAGTCCCCACTAAATAGCTGTGGAAATTTAAGCAAGTTACTTAACCTCTCTGTGCATATGCAAAGAAGGAAAATCATAAAAGATACCTCATAGAACAGTGAGGATTAAAGAACTTAATATGTGTAAGACTCTTTGAATAGCGCCTGGCATTACTCGCTGTTTCATGATGAAAGCATCGAAATCCTCGAGTTCAGAACCACAACTTACAATCCTAAGTGGCTAAGGTATTGGTTCCCAGCAACCATGCCTGTTAATCGAAGGAAATTTTCCTGGCTCCTCACTGAATGCAAACACACTGGAAATCCACCCTCTATCCCCATCACCAACCTCTGAGCTTTTTCTCCGGTGACCCCTGACCCTGCCTAGGTCAAAACATGTAGGCGCAGCCCAGGGAGAAGACCGGCCGCTTTGGCCCAGGGAGGCCTGACCCTGGGTCAGCCTGGACAAACACCTGCCTTCCGGTGAGGAAGGGCGATAACATTCCTGAGGCCTGAGTGGGCGGTACGGGTGTTGGCGGCAATCCATGCTGCTCGCTGCCTCAAACCATTCATCAGCTGACCAGCCATCCCGGCAAACTTTCCGCGGCCCTGCCTCGGGGAGGAGAGTTTCAGGGCCTTGGCACACCACTTGTCAAGCCCGTAGTTAAGTCACGTCCCTGGCTGTGTTAAATGCCAGGTCTGACTCTAACATCTCCCTGAGCTAGAGAATGGGTGAAGGAAAGGGAGCCGAAAGCCTGGGGCGGGGTGAGTCAGTGGCCAGGGCCATATCAGAACTCTTCTTCAAAGGTATATAGGTGAGGGGCTGGTGCACAGAACTATTTCAGAAGGACATCCAGTGGAGCTGTTGATGAAGACCTGGGTGCGAAATAAGACATCAAACGCCAGATAGCGAGGAAGCCAAGTTCTAACAGAATTTAAGCTATTATTTCATTTAAGGCCTGAGTTAGGTGCTGTTCATGACCTTCGCCGCAACCCTATGAGGTGCGTTTGAGGAAACTGAGGCTCCAACAGGTGGGGTGATGTGTCCAGTACAGTCACACAACTCGTAAGTCGAAGCATTTTGAACCCAAGTCACCCGAGTCTGACGCAGTGCAGAGTCCACTGTTCACACCTGTTCGTTCTGGAGGGATCTTGGAGCTCATCCTGCCCAGCCTCTGGCCAAGTGAGTTTGGCAGAACTCACGAGATGCCTTTGGAAAAAGGGTTCCATACAAGCCGTTTGCCGAGTGGAGACTCATGCTGCCCATTAAAGGCTCTGAGACTTCCTGCATCATGGACCCACTTAACCCAGTGTTTCTGAAATGTATTTAACCAGGCTGCCTTTTTTCTTATAACAATCATTAACCTCCCACGGAACTGTCCTTTGGAACCTGTCTTGGGATGTATTAATCGAATCCAACGCATTCACTTATTGAAGCGCGAAGTGGGGAAGCGGCTCACCCAAGGGCAGCAGGCTAGTTAGTGGCAGAGCTGGGACTAGAACCCAGTATTCCCGAGCCCCAGCAGAGCTTTCCCTTCTACAGCTGTCTGGCAGTGTTCATGAACTTAGTACAGACCCAGTGGGGACCCAGAGTGAGGAGAGGACGTAGACCTTTGCCTGTGGAGAAGACTGAACACAGACCATGAAAAGGTCTCAAGAACTTTTGCAGCAAACGTATCAGCAAAAACACCCCTTCGAGGGCAGCGGGACTCACGGCTGCTGAAGAGGGACGAGATCGAAGGAAGCCTTATGAGTTGCACTGGAGGATTCTGGGAAGGATTTCTGAAAGATCTAAGTGTGGAGACAGATTTTGAGAGGCCAAGTCACTTTTGGAAGAAAAATAATTAAATGTCAAATGTCAAAATGATTTTGCTCCACCTCCTGCTGTTGTCATGACGAATATTGGTAAAGGTTAGCCGACCCTCCACAGAGCTTTACCTTTTGCCTCCGGATGGACCGGTTGAGTTTCTTACGTGGATCTTCATGATCTACCACAACTTCCTTTGCTCCTGTGCAAGGCATCAAGGACTCAGGGGCAACAGCAGTGCACTTGGAATGAGAAAAATCCGTGTCTGAGTCCTGGCTCTGTGATTTGGGGTCCTTCAGTTTATCTTTCTGGCTCTTAATTTTCTCAATTAAAAAAGAGAGGATTAGAGGCCCAGCCCCGTGGCCTAATGGTTAGGTTTGGTGGCCCAGGTTCATGGGTTCAGATCCTTGGCACAGACCTCCACCACTGGTCAGCCATGCTATGGCAGTGACCCACATACAAAATAGAGAAAAACAGGCATAGATGTTAGCTCAGGGCGAATCTTCCTCAGGAAAATAAAATAAAAAAAAAGAGCGAGAGAGAGAGAGAGAGAGAGAGAGAGAGAGAGAGAATTAGACACAAACGTGGGTCCACAGACAGGCAGCATCAGAATCACCTGGGTTAATTAAAAGGCTAGATTCCTTTAGATTTATTCCTGGGCCCTGCCCAAGTACTGATGAAGCAGAATTTCCAGGGACCCATGATCTTAACAAGGGCACTAAATATTTCTGATGTGGACTCAGGTGTTGGAGCTGCTGGACTAGATTCTTTCTGAGCCCTCTCCAGTTCTCAAATGAGTTAAGTTTACTGAATGTCAGTAGTCTTGTCCAGAAATGGAGATATTAATACTCACCTCCAAGTATTATATCAATGTATCAAGAACTTTCCAAACTCTAAGATTGCCTGCAAATGCATAATATCAATATTCTGATCAGGAAATTAAAAATCTGTGGGATTTTTCTACCTAGTACTGCACAAAAGCTTAAAATTGACCTGGTCCCAAGCACAACTATGAAAGAGCTGAAGCTTTTACTTGGTCATATTTTTTAACCTTTTTAAGCTCCCTTAATCTTCCCTTACTTTTCCAGGTTACTCAGAGGGAAAGCTGCTAAAATGGTTTACACCAAGTCAGCATTTCCCAAAATGTATCCTGGAATACTAACAGGTGTTAGGAGAAGAAAACATGGAGGAGGTTTCTGGATCAACTACGTTTGGGGAATGCTGTGCTAACCAGGTTTTGCTGAGAATCTGGGAGGCTTTCCCATGCTAATATGAAGCGTGAATCTGCAAGAAGGCAAAAGTGTGATTAGCATTGCTAAGTGTAGGTGGCCAGGGAAACCTCTAATTGAGGGCCATCTCTCAGGATGAGGACAGTTTTGCGGTCAGGTTCCAGCCGTTCCATGTCTTATTCCTCCTAGGCGCCCTTCCTTTTCGAATCAGGACAGCTGAGAAGGCAAGCCTCCCTTCAAAGCAGTGGTTCTAAAAGCTGACTGTGCATCACCTGGGAGCCCCTCACAGCTCCAGATCCCTGGGTTCCACCCCGGGCACACTGACTCAATCTGCAGCCAGCCCCAGGTCGTCTTTGGACCTGTGATTGGGAATCCTCCAAGGAATGAATCACTTCAGGCATCTAAGTGGGAGGAATTCTCTTGGCTGAAGTGGGTAGAGAGGGAGGAAAGATGGGCCTCCAGCACTCCTTAAATTGCATCAGGTTGTCAGGGCATAAGCCATCTCTTGCGAGACTGGACCCTCCCTGAAAGATGGGAGGAGGCGTCTCAAACGTCCTCAGACATCCCTGAAATCTGGCGACGTGGACTGTGGCTTAGATGCGATCATGGCCTCCTTGTGTGGACATGGGTCAATCTCATACCCTCTCTGAGCTTCACTTTTCTGCTTGCAAATTCGTCTTACTCATATATGCCTTGGGCCCTTCATGCGGATATGGTAAAACGAATGAGGCAATAGACAGGGCTGTGTTTTTGGCTTTTCCAAAGACACTGCTACTGAGGCCAGTATGATGATTGTTCCGGGTTTTACTTCTACTAAAAACCAGCGTTTGAGATGGTGACTAAGAGGCATAACCATTCTCTTTCCTTTCAAGAATCTCTGAGATATCTTCATACAGTCTGCAACAGTGAATCAATGTTTATTTTTAAAAAAATATTAACCAAAGCATCTGTGAAACAACCGGGTCTGCCATGGGCAAGATGAGGCGGAAACCCCAGACAACTGTCCCGGTCAGTCAGACCCTGCATTCCCAGATCCGGGGTGGGGATTATCTGGAAAATTGCCTCAGCTGTCCATTTCATTTTCAGTGCTTGCTCAATGCGCCATTGTTAAACGTTTTTTAAAATCTTCCAGCCTGCCACTAAGATTCGGGGTTGTGATGGTCCACAGAATGGAAATGTGGAAAGAATTCCATTTTTTTTAATGCCTAAAGTCCGCTGGATTAAACTAATTGGGGTAAGACAATGCCTCTCTCAAAGAAAATGAAACTGGCTATGAAGCCGCTATTTACAAAACACCCAGCATGTGCCAGGTATCAAACTAGCTCCTTTTCTAAATGTTATCTCATTTAATCCTCGGAACTACTTTTCAAGTTCCGTTTAATTACTTTAAAGTAGATAAGTAAGAAACTGAGACCTGGAGACGTTAAAAAAAAAACTGCTCAAGGACCACACTTAGCAAGCAGAAGAGCCAGGGTTTGAAGACCAGTCGCTTTCCATTGCATTTGTTACTTTAATTCCTAGCTCTTCTCTTCCAAAATTTCAATCTTGTAACATTAGAAATCTCAAGGAGGAATGACATATTCTCATTCTTCTTCCGTATGGAGGCAACACAAGACATGGAAAGTTCTTAATTAAGATCTAACTGTGCAAGAAGAGCAGAACCCAGGTGCCCTACAGCCACCGTTAATGGTCTTTGCATTGTACCTCGTTTCCTGAAACCAAAAGAGAGACTCAGTCCTACCACATTCCACAGCAGGCTGTTTCTCTGTGGAGTCCTGGCAAGGTCTTTCCTGGCACAGGAGTCAGGATGCCCTCAGGCAGGTCTGCTTCTCTGGTTTTGCCTGTTTGGAGAGAAGGGTCCCACAGCGGTCTTCCAGCTTGGGATGACGTTCTGCAAAGCAGGCTGGGAAGATTCCCACGAGGTCTGCTCCCTGAATATTATTTCGCAGAAGCTCAGGCCTCTGTGGTTCTCTACCACACGCTGGAAAAGGCCTCCTCCTCAGCCACCCGGAGAATTCCCGCTTACTCTCCTCGCCGGGCGGCCTCCCCGCATCCCCCCTAGTTTGGGGTATGAAGAGGATACTGTAAGAGAGAACTCAGTTAAAGTCCAGTGGGAAAGGGTCGCAGTGAACCTGTTCTTGGAGGATTCTTCGAGGAGAGAAAGAAGAGGAAAAAACTGTCTGTATCTGTACGTGCAGAAAGGGCCCCATCAAACCTGACGCTTTGTAGGGGAAAGAGGACTTGACGTGCACCCGGGGGCCAGGAGGACGTGCCCCAAACTGGCAGGGGCGTTTCCTTTGGGGAGAAGAGTGAAGAACAGGACACAGGCAGGGGATCAGAGGAGACTTTAGGCTTATACGTGAAGATTTCATTTTTAAAAAGGACAATATTTACATGAAGAGGAAGAGGAAAAAGAAGGGGGGAAGGGGAGGGGGAGGAGGGAGAGGAGAGAGAGGGGTGGACTAGGAGTGGGAGGAGGAAAGGAGCCCTGTTTGATAATAAACAAGCTTCTGTCCCTAAGGGTTAGCTTTCCAACCCCGGGCTTTTCAAGAAAAAAAGGGAAAAGCCAACACTGCAGATCCAGCACTAGGGCCGAACTCGACGGTGCCCAGCTCCCCCTCTAGAGAGGGGGAGGGCCTGTGCACGAACATATAGATTGAATGGGAAATTCTACCCCATCCTAAAGGGTGGACCTCAGTAGTCTCACCTTTGAAAGGGGAATAAGAATAACTTACTTGTCTGAAGACAGGAGATGGTCATTCCACTCATGGAGGGGAGAATACATTTCCAAGGATGGATACATAAAGAGTTTCCATGTGCCCTGTTTGAACAGGTACCACCCTGTTCCCCCAGAAAGGTACCTCAGGCAAGACAGTGGCTTTCTTCCCTTGTGGGTCCACTTACCCCTGAATAGAACCCTGGCACCCTACCTTCCAGCCCAAGAGAGTCCCGTACCTGGCACATCGCAGCTTCCCCAGGATACTCCAACTCTGTGTGTGCAAGGTGTTTCAAAACTGGAGCCATCACCCCCACAGTCTGTGGGATGTTCAGAGGACCTGGCACCAGGGGAGAGGAGGCAGGCAAACTGCCAGCCCAAATACCTTTCCTGAGGCCCCGCGGAGGGGGAAACATCAGTGGGAGGGCAGGTCCCACTCAGGTCGATAGCGTCAGAGCTGGAGGGCCCGGACCACATTCAGGCTGATAAGAGGAAAGTCTGCATGTAGCCACCAGCCCAGGCAGGGATTCATTTGCTTGGAAACTCAGGGCCCCCAAGAATGGGTGCAGCTGTGTGGTTTGCCTCATGGTCACAAGCTACCTGCCAGGTCTGGGAGACTGCCCTGCCCTGTGAGGGTAGTTGGCTGGTCCAGATGCTGCAGTTCTTGCCCTGAGAGGAGGGTGGTGTGCCAAGGGGGAAGACAGTGCCAGGGAGGGCTGCTGTGGTCCATGTGCTGCACCTGGCATGAGCACACTGGAGCCCAAGGTCCCGGGCCCAGGTTTCTTATCTACGCCTTCCAGAGCTTGCTTTTGCCCAGGACTCCCACGCCTCTCTCAATCCTGGCAGTCATCGGCACCCGTTGCTTTGTGCAGTGACGGCCTCTGCTCCTGACTCAGACCCTGCTGAGCCTCCTAAGGAGGTGAATCTTGTGGGACTGGGGTCAGGATGGCTGAGTGTCACTCCCGTCTTGGCTTTAATTTGCCCTATGTTTTGAGAAAGTCACCTGACCTGCTATACCTTGGGTTCCCCTAGCCCCATTTAAACTCCTGGTTTATGAGCAGCAAAGGTGGCTGTAGAGACTCTGCCAACCCTGAGCACTGAGCAATGAGAAAACAGGAAGAGTAAACATTCAGGGCAGAAACCAAAGCTGACGGTGCTAGTGGGCCCCAGTGGCCACTATCTCCTTCTTCCGTGGAAACAGAATCCTGACTTTTAGGATTTATAACCTAAGCAGAAGAAAGATGACATTTATGAATCTCCCTTGTGGCCAGTGGAATTTAGGGGAAGTGTTGTGGGCAAGTTTCAGGAAGTGTCTTTAAAGGGAAGAGGTATGTCCTTCCTCACTACTTCCTTGTTTCTTCTGGGGGGCTGCTGGCATGAAAGCTGGAGCTCAGCAGTCATCTTGAACCATGAGGTAGGAGCCAGGCTCTGAGAAGAGTAGACCAGATAGAAGGATCCTGGGTCCCTGATGACCTTAGGAATGTCCCCTATCACCCTTGCACTATCTCCTCCAGACTTCTTCTATGAGTTAGAGAAATAACTTTCCGTCTTCTTTAAGCCAATAATATTTTGGGTTTCTGTCACTTGTAGCCAAAGCAAAAACTAATTGTTACAAGAAGACAGCGTAGGGTGCATTTAGAAGGAACAGCCAGTTCTAGAGATCTGCTAGACCGGGATAGACTTTAATTTGTATAGAAGAAAGGATCAAGTAATCTTGGAAGAGGAGGTCTCTTGCCTACAGCTCAAGGATGGATTCCAGAACCCGAAGCAAAGATCTCATAAAGGGATCTCTATTTTTATTGATTGAAAAATAACAGAAATGGATTTTGGGGGACATTATACTGCTCAAAAGGTGCTGTCTGGGTAGCATTAACCTCCATGCGTCACTTAGGATTGGGAAGGTGGAGAGGGGAGCCATCCAGCACATAACTCATCAGCTGGGGGTGAAGCAGCACCTTTGTGCGGCAGGGGGGATAAGAGCCCTTTAAGAAGTGAAAGGAGGAGGTGGGTGGAAATAGTCCAGATCATGATGTCACACACAGTCCACTGCATTATAGCCATTTTTTCATTTACTCCGGTTTAGCAAGCAGCTATTATGTTCAAGGCAAAAGAGGATACAACAATCAGACACAGAATCTGTCCTCAGGTAGCTTATAAAGTCTACTAGGGAAGGGAAGGCGAAGCTTACCTGTGAACACGACGTAAAGTGGTACACACCTGGAGAAAGGTTGAGGCAGGTGTCGTGGGTCTGCAGAGGAGAGCAGGTCCCTGCCAGGAGTGTTTCAGGGAAGCTTTGCTGAGAAGGGGACCTTCGTCTGTGGCCTTGCAAGATCAGGAAGATTTGGATATGTAGGACTGGCGGCTACGGGGTCCCTCCTTCTCCAAACAAGCTGTTAAGATGTCCACTTCCTTGTAGTGTGATGACTAACCACCCCCGTCCAAGAATATGGATACTAGAGCTGTGTGCTATAGGCAAGAGTGTTTTCTAGACGAAATGCAGGTGGCTTGGGGAATGTTATGGTCAGAAGCTGAAGGAGGAACGTCCAGGTAAGCCCTTTGTTTCTAAGTCAAACACAATAGGCTCGCATCTTAGCTCAGTTCCTTGAGCTCCTCAGGGCTGAAGGCTCACAAGTCCTGTTGAGTATGCCCCCTCAGCTGTGGCCATGCGCTAGAAGCAGGACTGGGAAGAAGTCATGGGGAAGTGGTTGTAAGGGGACTAGGTAGGGCTTGGAATGGCACACATCTCCTGCTCAGCTCTACTTCCTTTGAGCTCCGTTATTTCACTTCTCGGGCCCTAGAACAATGTCATGGTACAAGAGGTGACTCTAAGCTTAGGGAGATGAGAAACACCAAAAGCAGATGAAAGTGCTTGGGGAGATAGGTTGTAAGAGGGCCTGATAACTGACAGTCTTGTCGTTGTGGGAAACTGATGGTTAGGCTGTCTGGGATACTGGAGCCAAACTAGGAGGAGGGCCCCTGGCATTCTGGGCTTCCCGGTAAATAAATGTGTTGACTGGTGGAGGTGGTGGAGGCATGGCTTTCCATAGCTCTAGTTTTTCTCTTTTTCTTCTCCTTTGAGGATGACTCAGTACAGACTCGCTGTGGTTCATCACTACCATGACTTGAACTCACATTTGAATACCCAGGGTTCATGCTCAGTCATGACCATGCCACGGGAGCTGGAGTTCCTTCTTTGTCTTTAGTTTATGAGTAAATTAGAGGCAGAGGGCTGGGGGGAGGTGAGCAGTAAAGAAAGCAGAAATGCTTTTCCCTCCCTTTGCAAGAAGAAGGAGAGAAAAAAAACTAGACCTCAATTGTGAGGTATTTGTTGCTCCAGAGAGGAGCATGTCTGGGGAGTGGGGGAGCAAGGGAACATTTTACTGTTCTTTTAGACCTTTGCCTGGAAACAGGAAGTGTGTTTGGCCCACTTTACCTGCTGGGGCCACTTGCTATCTACCTCGAGGCACAATCTGCTGTTTGTAATATTACAGTCAGTTGCCATGGAGACTGTGACGTGAACACATCAGCCTTCTGGCTGTAGGAAGGGAACAGTCTGCTGAGATGGGGCCCGTGTACAAATAAATACATTCCAAAGCAACAGGTGAGCCTCAGAGAAGCCAGGTCTCTGGTTTCTACTGAAATGTTTCTACCATTAAACAAACATTGGAGGAAACACAAGCATCTGTCTAGAAGCAAAGCCTGGAGCTCAGGAATTCCGGGGCTGCGCCATGGCCCCTGCGTCTGATTTCCTACGTGGGCCAAGACAATTGGCTCAACCTCTCTGTGTCTTAGGTTAGCTGGCTCTCTCTCCTTCCTGGCTTCCACTCCCAACCCCAGCCTCATGGCGAGATTAGGAGGCAGATGCTATTGGAAAGTGGAAGGAAGTATCTCATTCCACAGCGGCACTAGGCAGAAGTGGGCAGGAGGGATGTTGACCCTGCCAGGGCTCCTAAACCCTCTCTACCAGCAGACTACCACCACGTATTAACCCCTTCCCATCTCCAGTCATTTGCTGCACTAATTCAGGAGAAAGTTCGGACAACCCGGTATGTGTATCTTAAGGGCAAATTCACTCTTGCTGGGGAATTTGGCATGTGTGGTGTTTCATTGAGCTGATGCATTTGGTTTATATGTGGTTTAACTAATGTATAAGATATACTCTGTTAGCTTACTAATAGCTAGTCTTAGTGTGGGGAGTCAGCATTTCCTGCAAGCCCAAACCACTGATGACCTATCCTAAATTTCCAACCCTCTTCTTGGTATACCCAGACTGATATACCAACATAAATAGTTTGACTTATAGTGAAAGTCAAATATGCATCTGGCCTATGCTCACCTTTAAACCATTATTGAGCACTAATGTTGCTTTGCACATAACAGGCATTGGATAACTACTTAATGAATTAAGTAATGTTAACATTCATAATCTGGGTGCAATACTCTGTATGTGTTTGCGTGCACGTGAACACAGGTGAATATTTATTCTTAACATTTCAAAGCTAGAAGCGATTTCAGAATCATTTGCTCCGACGCTTTATTCTACATGGTGAACCTGAGACTCAGAGAGACGAGTGACTTGCCCCAAGCGAAAAGCTGAAAGCACAGTCAGGGCCAGACTCCAAGACCGTGGAGTCCCCATCCACTGCTTGTTCTCTGTACACTCCTGCATCCCCAACCCCAGTTCCCTCCCTCTCTTCCTCATGCTGGCTCCCCGAGCAAGCTTCCCGAAGTCCTGGGGAGCCTGTGTCAGCTGCTCCAGCCTGTGCACAGACAGCTCTGTGCTACCTCTGCCTGCGGCTGGACCCAACCAGGCCCTCAAAAAGGGCTGGAGGACTCATGCCACCAGCTTGTCTTCTCTGCCTCCTCCCAACATTACTCCCCTGGAAAGAAAACTGGGTCTCTATGGAGTCAGAAGGGCTATGTTTGAGTTTCAGCCCAGGGATGTTCCAGCTGCACAACCATGGTCAAATTACTTCAATTCTCTGGGCCTCAGTTTCCTCATCTGCAAAAGAACGGTGATGATTCCTGCCTTGTATGTGTCGCAGGTTTTGGGGGATCAAGTGAGACAATAAGTGTAAGAAAACTCTCAACTATGAAATGTGATACCTATGTCAAGGCATTGTAATATAATAATAATTATTATTATTATCATTTTCAGTAATTTCTTACCTGAGAGTAGTAACATACCCGGTCAGCTGTGTCCTAAAGTGTTCCTAAAACACTTTAGCACTAGCTAAATTTGGCTAAAATCGGTACTATCCACAATTGTATTGACTCCACCTACATTTACAGTGGCTTCCCTCCCCCAGCCACACCTCCCCTTCCAGCGCCCAGGTTGCCCCTAAGCCTACACCTCCAGCAATAATCCTATAGGTTCCCAATTATTCCTGTTGGTGAAGGCAAGCTAACACCGGGGAGAGGAGAGGCATCCTTTACTATTGGGGGCAGGAGGGCAGTAGATGATACTTACATTGTACCCCCTATTCCTTTCTCTCAGGCTCAGTACACGTAGGGTTGTAATTTGTTGTGAGGTTTGAGTAAAATGAAACCTAAACACCAAGCAGCCTTTCATCTGTACCTCTAAAAAGCAAGGCTGATGGCTTCCTCCTATTCTGCTCTTCCTTTCAGCTCTATAGCAGCACAAACTTACAGCTAGGAAGCACCCTCCCACCCACAGTGTTTGGGGGTGGTTTGGGGTCCCTGTGGGCCTTGCCTGACTCCTCCAAACTGAGCTTCGTGTCACCTCTTGTGAAACACGGGAAGCTTGTTTGCTTCCACTGGTGCCTCTACCTCCCCTTCCAGTAGAAAGGATGGACCCGGGAGAACTGGCTCTGATGGGCAAGTTGTATAACCATAGGGAGGCTCCTTAACCTATCTTTACACCAATTTCATCTTTAAAATGAGGCTGTCCTAGGGTGTGGAGAGAAGGGAGCCCTCGTACACTGTTGGGAATATAAATTGATGCAGACACCATGGAAAAGAGCATGGAGATTCCTGAAAAAATTAAAATTAGAACTACCATATGATCCAGCAATTCCGCTTCTGGGTATTTATCCAAAGGACACGAGAACACTAATTTGAAGAGATATATGTATCCCTATGTTCATTGTAGCATCATTTACAGTAGCCAAGACATGGAAACAACTTAAGTGTCCATTGTTGGATGAATGAATAGAGAAGATGTGTTATATATACAATAGAATACTACTCAGCCATAAAGAAGAATGAAATCTTGCCATTTGCAAGAACACAGAGAGACCTTGAGGGTATTATGCTAAGTGAAATAAAGTCAGATGGAGAAAGACAAAAATCGTACAATTTCACTTACATGTGGAATCTAAAAAACAAAACAAACGAACAAATAAAACAAAGCAGAAACAGACTTATAGACACAGGAAACAAACTGATGGTTACCAGAGCGGGGAGAGGTTGGGGGGCAGGCCAAATAGGAGAAGGGGATTAAGAGGTACAAACTTCCAGTTATAAAATAAGAAGTCACGAGGATGTGGTGTACAGCACAGGAAATATAGTCAATAATATTGTGATAATTTTGTATGGTGCCAGATGGTAACTAGACTTGTCGTGGTGATCATTTCGTAAAGTACATAGATATGGCATCACTATGATGTACACTTGTAACGATTAGGCTACTATATGTCAGTTATACTGAAATTGAAAAAATAAAGACAAAAGGATAGAAAAAAACAAAAAATAACACTGGGCTATCCCTGCACGGGCCTGCACCACTGTCCAGTGTGAGGTTGTAGTGAGGTGCTGGGGTGGGGGCACTGTGTCAGCAGTGACGCAGGTGTAAAGGATGGTTACCATCCAGGTAAGGCTTCGATTCTCCCCTTCGTTTCGGATGCCCACCTCGCGCCCTCGCTGTATCCCACACTGCACTCTGCCCGTGAAGCCTGACCTGGCCTTACATGTGGCTGGCTTCCAGAATTTGTTTTGTTGTAGTTTGTCATCATGTGCATTCTGCTGGGTGCAGCATGGCTTGTAAGACTGCCGACCTGCGCCCTTCAGGGACACGGAGGCGCTGGATATGGGCACTTATCGTACATATGGGGCCTTGCACACACACTCTCAGGTTTGGAAGTGGTGAATTGGTGAACTCAACTTCCCCATTTATCAGTCAAAATAACTGAGGCCCAGAAAAACTCAGAGCTGAAGGACTTCCCCAAGGTCTATGGGGAGCTCGTTTTATTACTCTAAAGTAGAAAGTCTTAATTCCCAGAGTTTTTGAAGAAAGGAATGCAGGGGAAACAACCTCATCTGGTGCTGATTTGAATGCAGTAGGTTGGGTACAAGGGGCCCCGGGGGATGAGAGGTCCTCCTG